ATGAGTAAATATGATTGGGAAATAGAAATTGAACTATGTCTATAATATTTTATCTTCGAGTTGCATACTAATATAAGATCCTAAGCAGGAATTTAAATGGAAATAAAAAAGCTAGCAATGCGAACGGTCAAGAGAAGCATCATAATGATTTTTTTTAATGAGTCGTTTTAATTAAGAAATAGAAACCCGACTTACAAGAATTGTTATAAGCCGTATAGTCTATAACTATATAGCTAGTAGCGTATACGGTCCTGAGCGGGGCCATCCTGATCAGGAAAACCACGTGCTCATTTTATTCGAATTAATGGTACAAATAAAACAGCTGGCAAAGGCCAAGAGATGGCTGAATGTTATTTAGAAACAGAAATTAAACTATGTCAAAAGTATTTTATCTTCCAAATATAAATAATAGAACGTCTACGGCCCTTAGCGGGGGACATCCTGATATGGAAAAGAAGCATTCTGATATAAATGTAGTCGTTTTTTACGAATTTGTAAAATTACTGTAAAGTAAATACAGCTAATTTTCAGCTACTTTCAGCTTTATTGAAAGATAAACAACCTGTATTATATTTAACATAATGCCTGTCCAGGCTTCAAAATTCATCTTTACTAGAAATATGTGCCTTGAACACTGATGTGTTAGTTGGTCTTATCTATTTGAACAATATGACATCAGCATTTATAAGAATGATATGTCCTACATAAGAATTGAACTAGGAATGGTTTTGTAATTGCATTTCACAATAAAGAATCTTATTTTGATGATGCCTGCAGTTAACTCCAAAGAACATCAGAGAACTTACTTATACTCCTAAGTTCAATTATCTCATGTTTATTTAATATAGGATAGGCCAATGATGCCTGTGTGTAGTCAGTAAAAGGAGTTGGACCAATATCAAGTCATCAGAAAGGATGTGGTGGGGCCTACAAATAGCCAACATCTTAGGTAAAATTACAAACCTTATCTGCATTTGACCAGTCTTCAGAATCAGACATTCAAGTGATTGAAATGTTTAAAGTCTAATTTCTTAATGATTTAATACTTGGGAACTAGTCTACAAATCAGAAATCAAAATGATCAAAATAGTTGGAGTCTAATTCCTGAAGAGTTTAATATTCTAGGGACGGCTGCCAGTCTACATATTTAATTTCATGTAAAAGGTTCCCGAGCAAGGATTGTTTGATCAAGAAATACGGTCAAAGCTTTTTCCATGCTTATTCATTCTTTAAATATTTAAATACATAGATCAATAGTCTTGACAGTGGACAAAATCACAACTGAAGTAAAAAGAAAATCAATGATAATATACCATGGACATTGCCATGAGGAGGAACATCTTGAGCAACAAATTGAAGGTGTTTCCATGATTATAATATATATTATAGTAATGAGTAAAGCAATACATGATTTCTTCAGTTTCAAAAGTACTCAAAGGAGTACAAAAATTAGTAAAATCATGTGTTATGCTCAATGGAACACACATAGATGTTTTTCGCTGATACAAAAGTATTTATCTCGAATGGATTATAAATTTTGAGAATGTAGTTTGTTCCCGATGATGCACGCAGACGACTTGCTCGTATTGATGGGTTCTGCTAAAGATACAAAATGTGTTGAATAATTTATATAATCCCGCTTAATCCTGAAGCCTAACTGTAAATATGAAAAACTAACGAAAATAACTGTTTGCAGAAAGATTTAAA